AGTCTCAGTTCGCGATTCTAAAAAATGTCTTGGCAGTCAATCAGGTCAGTTCACTACCTCCAGACTGACAGTTTGAACCGCAAAGATGAACTGACAACTGACTGATTGACTGATAGCAACTCTGATCTCGAGTGGTTACCAGTACAGTCTCTCGATATTCTTTCTCCTCAGGAATCGATCTGCGTACCATGTAGCGTGGAGAGGTCTGTTGCACACGCCAGTCCTTGGGAGAGAGCAAAATGCCAAGCATACAAGCGCTTTTGTTCGTCTGCAGTGAACAGCTGAGAAGGCCGATCCAAAACTTCTCAGCCGTTGTCGCTACCGTGGAAATATGCATAAGAACAAGTGGAAGTCGAATATTGATGCCAACATTATCAAGTGCCAATAACGGGCCAGGAACTGGCGCTCGAGCCAAATTTACACAGTTCTTAAAATCCAAGGGCGACTTTGCAAGCATCTCACCCTCAAGCGTAGGAGGTGTGTATTCTGGAAATGTCTTGTTCACAGAAGATATCGGTTCCCTAGTATCCAAGCCCCATGCTAGGATAGAGTCATCTTCATTGTTCTTCTTAATGATTTCCTCTTGTAGACGCACAAAAGCCTTGTTACCCTCCCCGTACAGCAAGGGCATATTGATGTTGAATAGCCCCATCAAGCAATAGGCCTGGTCTTCTTGCCGAGTGGTTTCACGGTATGACGCCCACGACATCTTCTTTGCTACACAAAAATCATCAAGGGTGTTCATCCAGGGCGACTGTATTATGCCACTGCCTAATACTTCTGAGTCGACTCTTGTGATTTCTGAAATCTTACGTGCCAGCTTCCGCCGACTTCCAACCATTTCCCAACTCTTATCATAGAAGACCACGTCGGTCGGTGCGATCAATTCCTGCAGCGTCCAGCCACGGGTGAACCAACGGCTATCGGAGAAACTCTTTTCGAAACTAATCGCGGAAACATCCTCAAGAAAAGCGTAGCACTTAGAAGATGATAAGTACCATCTGAACATGGAGTTGATAGCCTCTGAAAGCTCTGCGCTGGAGCTCTTGTTAATGCAGCACGTGTCCACCCATGCAAAGTTTAGCCTGTCGCGCAATGCTTGCTCGCAGGTGCATTTGATCTTATAGTATCCAGCTTTCGTTCTCGTTGAAGCTTGGTGAAGGGGCAAGTCCGAAAACAACACCTCTTCGCGGCCCCATGTGTGGGACAATATTGCGTATTTTGGGACGGAGTTACCAACAAATTCCTCCAGCTCGAGGGTCTTGCAGTTGATGAGTCGCATTGCTGAGATGAACGCATCGAGGGTGTTCTTTATATGTAGAAAGTTATGAAGCGTTGCTAGAAGAAGACAATGAGAAGGCATGAGGTTAAGGTTTCCCCGCTTTGAAGCCTTCTGGGCTGCGTGAAGCTGAGTAATACAGTCACATGTTTCATGTTTGCGCATGCGTCAATCTGTGTGAACACCATCAGCAGCTTGTTAGAGCTCACCTCATGCTTCCCATTCAGATCAGTTATTCGCACTGCAGCCATGATCGCTGTGTTCACCTTAGGTAGTGTCCTGTTCGGGTATAGCGTTTCCGTGCGCTAACATCATGACCAGATGTTCTTTCTCCAGCACAGGTGGGCTCCTGTGTCGTTGATCGCGGAAGGTTCGGTCGACATGTCAGATATTCAAGAGGCTGGGGATCGCGTCGACTTAAGTGGAGCGATCTGCTCAATGACCAATTGGAGGAGATCTGACGAAGGTTGAGCTAGAAGAACCGCCACCCCACCAAACTGGATGCCTCACAACTTGATGCAACAAACACAGCCTACCACATCCTCTGCCGCGCACATCTTTCCAGTAACACGTGGCCTATTGGCGTCGGCTTGTTAACCAACGATCGAACCGAATGCGATGTCAGAGGAAGGGCACGAACAGTATTTGTTTCGTGGCAAAATCTGTTCGCCTGAGCAGGTCCAAGTATGCTGTAGCATCTATTCCTCAGTCACATATGCCGCGCATGGTCTATTCGATTTCTAGCTATTGCGGATGGTGTCACTGCAACGATGCCGGCGCTCGACGACGCTCAAGAAGAAGATGTCTGCCTAGTGCGGTGCAGCAAGTACGGTAATCTTCTAGAAATTTCGTCACCCATAAGTGCAGATGTGATTCGGGAATTGCGTAAGCATGGCTATCAAAATCATTCGAGTACTGCTATCGCAGACATCGCGCCATATGCGACAAAAAGCCATATCTTTCTAGCTTCGGTCTATGGTACTTTCTGGTAGTCACGCTCTAGACGGTGCTATGGGACAGAAATATTATTGTCTCTCATACTGATCACTCGTCTGCGACAAAGCAATCACAAACAGACCGACACACTCTTCCAGGTCATACACCGCTCATGCATTGCTAGGTCCCTTCCCCTGCTGCCACTTTGCTCTCCGCAATTTCGATGTTATCGTCGCCGCTTCCCAAGAAGCCAAAAGCTGCAGCCGAAGGTCTACCGATCGAGCTTTGGACGCTTATATGCCACTCGAGGTCTTCATATTCAGACGGAGAGGAGTTCATCATTGACTTCCTTGGTCTTTCTAATCTCCGCCTCACTAGTCGAGCGCTAAATCGGAAAATCTGGGATGCATTCCTTCAACGGCATTTCGCATCTTCCAAGTTCAGCCTAATGCCACAGAGTCTGCAAGACCTAAAGAGGTTGTCGGAAGACGAGCAGCTTCATAGATACGTTCGAGAGCTGGAGTTTGGCCCAGAGATATTGAACACGAATCTGGAAGTGGACCTTCAATACATCAAGGAGCAAGGGGAGGAGCCTTCTACCGGTTATCCACATCCTGAGAGCTACATTTACGTGGATTCTGCCCGCCCAATTTGGCCGATAGTCAAGCTTCCAAGACCGCTGCGTGAAGGTGTTACCAGCAGAGACTCAGAGTCAGCAATGGTTGTTCGATGGAACAAGCGAGGTAGTTATGGTCGCTGGCTTCAAAGATACGGAGATACACTGAAAAGATTAGTTGAACGCCAAAACCACTTTCGAGCTGGAACCGGATATCTCCGAGAAGCCATTATAAAGTTCCCGGCACTGAACAGCATCAAGATCAATCCTCGTCCAGTAGGTAATTACTACGAGCAGCGCTTTGCTGAAATCATAAAACGGAGTAGGGGTACCACGCCGCTCTTCCGCGAACTTGGAGCACATGAGCTCGAATTAACGACCGACACCGCTCCGTACGGTTCAGAGTCCATCTTGGAGTTCAGCCTTGACGGTCTTCTCTTCATGGAGTATTACGCAGAGATCAACATGCTGGAAAACCTCTTCAATGTCTTGAGCTCGGTTGACTTGGGCAAGTTTACTGTTGATCTGACGATCACCGCAGCGAACCTTCTATCTAATGGCAAGGTCTTTGACATCAGTCACAGAACTTGGACAGCCATGGCCCCCCGTGTACGAAGCCTCACGTTCGACTTCGCAATGAGCGACATGAAGATCTACCAAGTTCCCCCACTGTTAACATGGATAGCCGAGATGGTACAACCCACCCGTGCGGTCGAACACTTTTTCTGCCGCAATCTCTTCTTCGGGCACTTTGTATTGCGAAAAGTCTTCGCGCAATCCTCTTGGGCAAGTCTTCGAACGCTGCATCTCTTCCGATGTAAAGCCCATAGCCGCGATTTGCTCGGAATGTTCCTTCGTCATCGTTCAACTCTGGAAGATGTAAGTTTGTCATGCGTCACGACTACTGGTATGAGCGCAACATCCTGGAAGAACATACTTGTTCTAATGAAGGGCATGGATCAACTTGATCGTGTCACGCTGGATCGGCTCGAACTACAGGGTGCTATTGACATGTCTAGCCTCTTGTCGCACCCTTGGAACTCCAAACCATCCACATGTTATTGCTTGAAGGCAAAAGGGCACGGGAAAATCCGTCACATGCTACTTGTCGCGACAGAGTGCATCATACTTATTCCAGGTCGGAAATCTACGGTTTGCGAAGTGCATTTTCGGACATTGCAACTTAACCAAGAGTACCTAGGGCAGAGCTCAGTGGGGTCTTGGCAAAGCTCGTCCACAGACCTGTCTTAGACAGCTGTAGAATGATCACGTGTTAAGTGTAGGTGATGGATACACACTTAGTATTGAGTAATTCTACAAGCTCGGTAGCTTGCCATCTTCCCGTGCACGTTACAGCATCCAGCATATTTCAAGTTTCTCGGGCGCGTCCTTCCTTATTTATCTCAACATCCTACTTACCCATCTTTGCGTTAGCCGGGTACTACCTCCTCATAAGGCGTGAAATGAGAATAGCACCGAGCTGTCTAAACGCTGGCACCGGCGTTAGGAACTCAACGCTCCGGCGATACAACTTATCGGCCGATAGAGATTTCCTTTTCTGGTTAGCGTCGCCTCTCCAGGAACCCGACAGGGTCTTGACAGTCAGTAGTCTCACAAGCCTGCGCAGATATATAAACGCCATATACCGTATTTGAGTAAAGACACTGCCAGATCAACAGTTCATCAAAATAACGGCATCGAAACCATGGCCTCTCGAACTACTATCTTCATTACTGGAGCCAACACCGGCCTCGGGCTTCACACCGTGAAGGCTCTATACAGATCAACAAACATATACGACATCTTGCTTGGTGCTCGAGACTCGAACAAGGCTTCAGCTGCTATCGACGAAATCAAACAAGAGTACCCCAACTCTACGAACAGCATTGAGGGAATCCAAATCGACCTTCAGGATGACGCTTCGATCGCTCAAGCGTTCGAAACAGTCTCCAGAAAACATGGCAAGATTGATGTTCTTCTCAACAATGCGGGTACGAATGTGAAAACCTCGATAGACTTGTACCCAGACTGACTTCGCACAGGAGCGCAATTCGACCAGCAGGTACCCAAGGGCAACATGACAATAAGAGACATGTGGAACAAATCTTGGGACGTCAACGTGACTGGTACATATATAGTGACCGAAGTCTTTGCTCCGTTGCTTCTCAAATCGTCTCACCCACGACTGGTCTTCATCACCAGTGGCACAAGCACCCTCACAGAGCACGACAACTTAGCGATGCCCATAAACCGCTCCCCTCCCAAAGGCTGGCCCAAGGAATCCTTTGCAGTCACGGCGTATCGAGCAGCCAAGACTGGTATGAATATGATGGTGCTGGAATGGGCCCGAATGCTCAAGGAGGATGGCGTCAAGGTGTTCGCAGTCAGCCCTGGCATGCTAGCTACAGGTTTGGGTGGTGATCCCGAGGCTATGAAGAAGATGGGAGCAATTGATCCGAAGATTGGAGCGGAACTCGTTCGCGATGTCGTCGAAGGTCGCCGGGACGAGGATGTCGGGAAGGTGGTGCGCAAGAATAACGTTCAGCCATGGTAGCTCCAGAGCATCAGATGTTTTGGCTGTGTATTCGAATTGAAACGGGCCACAGCTTTGCGCTCCAGCTCATCATGTAATGTTGAAATCATTAGCATACGTGGTCATATCACAGAATTGCTCGATATCTATCAACCCGTTGCTTATGAAGTCGAACGGATCGAGCGTACTGAAAGTGAACTGGTCCTCTGAGTATGTATTGTGATTAGTGGAGTCAACAGGCCAGTCTGGGATTCCAAGTACTATGGTCTCCGGTGTTGTTTGCGGCTGGCATCCTGTTGCTGATCCTAGTGTTGGCTGTGTGAAAGCAGATTGCTTGACGTCTGTTGATTCTAATGTAAAATTTATCGCTCGTCCCAATCTTCTCGCGTCGATACTGGACAAGGATCTATCCACGCAAATAGAGTGAGCTGTCTTGAGGAGCAAAAGGGTTTCTTCCAACGTAACCATCATCGAACCCTGAGGGATACTTCTTCGACGATCCAAGTTGATATAAAGACAAAGAGTGCTCCCGCCAAGTAAGAAATCAGTCATCACGAAGTTGTTAAACATCCAGCTTACTGCTTGGAGACGGCCTCCAGGTCGAATTTCACAGTGAATGTCGGCAACACTCCTTACGATGCTACTGGCGGCCTGGGTGCATTGCACAATGCTATGAGTACTGCCACGTACCATGTACTTCAAGTGCAGGATGCATAAGCTTTTCAAAAACAGAAGCTCGAGAAAGAATCGACACATGACCAAGAAGGGTGGGTCAGAGGTGGATTCAGATACTGAACGCCATCGTAGGATGTTCGGGATTGTCGCATATGCTTTTCTCGCCTCCGTTTCCAACTCCATGATTTCCATCTCACTCTTGACACGCAAAGACAGCGCGGCTTGACATATTCTGGCGAATACAGGCATCAACCTATCTTTAACAATGAACCATAGAATTGGGGTTGGCTCACTCTCTGGTCGAGCTTGGGGAAGAATTTGAGTGTCGAAGTCGAAATCAGAGTCCAGTAAGTTTGAAGGAGACTTGGTATCGCAATTTTCGAGGATAATGTTATTGGGAAGCCCAAGTTGGAAAGACACCATGATATCCACCTGCTTGCAACAAGCCCAGAAGCGTCTTCTCATCTCGCCTTCGAAAACTGTGAACCTGCCGAAGGTATCGGGATCGCGATGGTATCCTAGTTCGTATGCATGCCGTACAGCCATACAGATGATGGCGCCACATTCGTGGTTGGGATCCAGACTTCTGAGGCTTTTGCAATGGGCGTACAGTAACAATGCTTCCGGAGCGTCTCGCTGCGTTTCATGATAATCGCCAAGCGCCAAAAGCTTTCCTGCAGCATTGTAAAACTCGCAGCTAGGTGTCTGCGCTGTCTTCTCTCCTGCTGCTCCTTCGTGAACTAACGCAGCGATTGAGAAGATAGAGAAAAGGGTACTCAGCCAAAATGCTGAGGCTGCTTGAAAGTGTTCAACTTGAAAAGTATGGTATTCTCGTTGGAACTGTCTTGTATGAATGAAGGGTTGCACAAACGTGCCACTTCCGAAGTAGGTTTCCAGAAGGTGATCAGCGTCCTTCTGCAATGGCATATATTGTGACAAGATGGCGCCTTGCGAGGATGCACTTGGTAAGCCGAGAATGCTCTTACTGACAACGTCGTTTCCGTCGGCGATCGACTCTTCAAGGCTGGGCTCATCAACCGTCGCAGGTAGTTCCAAGCGCAGCTGGTGGATGCTTTCCATAACTTCTTCCACGACAGTAGGAAATTGGTTCTTCGGCAACCCCAGCTCACGACCACTGGACACATGGGCCTGTTGACCAGTGGAGTTGGAAGGCAATCTCGAGCTATGTACTGGCTCTGACGCATCTGTTGCATCCAGCAATTGAATGACCTTAGCTTCAAGATGTTGCAGTCTTTCCTCAATGGCCGGCTGACCACGTGCGCGTGACAATCCATTGTAAGAGCAGGATGTGCCGCCATCTCGCCTGACACACCTACTACAGGGCCGGTTCCTGTCGCATCGGAGTTTAGAGGCTTTGCAATGATCGCAAACTAATGTTGGTCTTTGGCGCTTGACAGGCTCTTTCTTTCCCGCTCGCTGTTGGCGTGTACTATAAGCCCTGAAGCTGCCGATGGATTGTGACTTGTGAGACATGGATTGCAAATGATTTGACATGTATAGGGTTGTTATTGGCAGATGAGACAGGAGTGACGTGGTGCTAGCACCTACATTGAAAAGGTGGGGAGCAGCCGGTAGCTCCGATGACCGCCGTAAGGGGGCGCGTACCGAGGCTGACGGCTTAACGACCTTAGCGGCCCAATTCAACTATCTTTTCCACTGCAACTGCCTTATCAATCACCTGACCTTACTAGATTCCTACCACACTTGCTTCATCACAACACTCAACAGCACCTCCCTTTGTTTCCAGTCCCATTCCAGTAAGTCGTAGTCACGTATCCTCCTCGCTCATTCTTCTTTTTTTCTTTCGGCCAGCAGCATGCCATGCATAAGACGATGGAGAAGAGAATCGCAACGGTGGCTGCGAGACCTATCAAAATGGCTTTTCCGTGGCTGCCATAGTAGATAAATTCGTTGTTGCCAGCGGTATAATCGCTCCCTACCTCCAGTGTGGAGATTGGGAGAATGGATGTTGTGAGCGTTGTATCTGCCATGGTGTCTCTGATGTAAGATGGTTGCTAGAATATTATGAGTCTCTGTTCAAGATCACTAGAGGCGAAATCACATACATGTTTTTGACCTCAATATGGTAATTTGAGCTGTAGCCTTGCTTGGTGCTAGTGGGCAATGTAAGTATGCGAACTCAGCCTTAGTATAGAGGAGGCTATCGCATGCTTTTAATCGCACATTAGAACACTTGCGCGTATCATCTCTACACCTTACCTTCACTCGACGTTATACAATGTCTCCTTAATACTCCATGTGCTCATCTATAACGTGTTGAACCCGCCAAATCAAGCTTACTGAGAGTACAGTGGTATGCCACAAAAGGTCTTCCATTGCTGCAACGTGACCTAGTCCTGTAACAGTGGCTGATCTTGATGTGGGAGCCTGTTCATAGCAACAAGGAGGCCTCTCTTAGCATTATTCGACTTCTCAATGCGTAAAGACTTGCTAAAAAGGACTTGATAGCCGGCCCGTCGATACTTACACAAGCGGGACCCTGCATGAAAGTATAGAACACGTTCTGGTAGACTCTTGAATATCTTCGCACGACTGGGCTTCGTTGATAGGTGTGTGAGCGTGGAGAGAGGTGATGAAGCGGCTGATAATTGGTTTCTCGTCAACTCAAGAGAGCTGTTTCTCAGTCTCACTGACGCGATTCTCACTCCTCGTTATCTTACTTCTATATAAGGTTCTGTAAGTACTGCCTTGTAGTATCCGTTTTTTGCGTTCCAATAGAACGGCTGTCACTTCGCACAGCGTCGCACAAGCATGGCGCATCGACGATACATGTTCGTGCGCCGCGCTTGTGAAACTCGTCTTTCAAATACTCAGAACATAATATTGAGACGATAGTTCTGATGAAACAGCGTGTTCAAAGAAAAAGTGCTAAGGGTGAAATTCATAATGTTGATGTGAGTCAGTGACGAAAGGTTAGTTGTATTATTTCGCACCGTATTAGATCTACATGTCTATCGTACAAACTAGATATTCAAATGCCCATGACTACCCAGACGAACTACGAGTTTGTTGACAACCCATGACGGTGTCCTTTCTGTATGTGAGAGCCCTCCATCTCAGCGATAACAGCCGTCATATCTCCTCTATTGCCCGGTCCAAGCTTCGACGGCAGTACAGGATCAGTATGCAGTTCGGCCACCCCATTACCACCACTGGAAAAGGTGTCGCTTCCAAGCTCACTTATCGGGCTCGTAATCTCAGCGCCGTGTAGCTCTGCCGAGCGTGTTGAGCGGAGTGGTGTATTCGTACCAAGTTCGCTGACTGGACTTCTCATTCCTTCGGTGCGGAGATCAGCACTACTCATCCGGCTGGTAGGTACTCCAGATGGGGTGTTAGCATGCCAGCCTTGCATTGTTGAAGAAGCCGAAACAGGTGAGGCCGGCGACGGTATGCTCGGTGCCGTGTGAGATCCCAGTTCGGGATATCGAGAATCCATGTTACTACCATGACGGTGCAGATGTGACTGTTGTGCTGGGCGGTAGAATCGCGAGCTCTCATTACCACTTCCGCCGCGCATCTCCGGTGGGTTCGGATAGCCATTGTGTGCAGTTTGGGGGCGTGGCGGTGGCGGTGCGCTTTCGCTATGTAGTTCGGCTTTCGAGTGCTGATGCATTTGTGGACCGGCTTCGACTTTTGAGTGACGACCAAAGCTTGAATCATTCTCGATAACTGGAAGTTTGGGGTTTGGACTAGTATTGCGAGAGGGCTCCCAAATGTCTGCGGATGAAGCGAGAGAGGCTCGGTGCTTACGGCGACGCAGGAAGAAGAACACAAGGCCGATGATCAGAGCAATAGCTACAGTGCCGCCCGCTGCTATGCCGGCAATGGAAGTCGTACTTAGAGTCGGTTCTGCAGCATGAGTATTTGTGGGGACTGGCAGCTCAGAGTTGGAGATCGTGATGTGAACATGCGACTGGATAGTGACGTCGTTCGGAGGGATAGTATTGCTTGGAGCAGGAGCTGCAACAACGGATGTAGGTTTTCCTTCGTTCGTAGAGCTAGGTGCTGCAGCTGGCGTCGAAGTCGCGGGTGGCGGCGATGGCGCTTCTGATGACTTCTCCGTCTCCGAACTTGACGATGCCGAAGTGCTGGTCGATGGTGATGGAGTATTCGACGTAAGTATCTCAATAGTGGTCTCATACGTTGACATCGCCTCAAAGCTAGTCGCCGAATCCTTAGTACTCGCTGCAATACTACCTGATGGCTTTCCCGTGAGCAAATCTTTATAGTTGAACTCATTACCCCCATAGTTAAACTCATTTTCGAAGTAATCTTCGTGTGTTCCTTTGCACGCCGCCTTGAACATGTTTACGTAGTCTATGGCCTATGGTTAGTAAATCCTGATTCCGTGTTGTGTATAAATCAAAGGCTTGCCTTGTCGGTCTGTCACACTTGGACAAGCGTTGAGAAGACATACACCATACATATTGAAGTGTATGTGAACAACGTCGGAAAGCTCACAAAAGCCTTCGAGGTTATCGGCACAATTGCCATCGAGGACCTTTCCTTCTCCAATGAGACATTGCTTCTAACATTAGGGTCAGTAGAAGAGTCCATTGGAACGATCGTGTGGCTCTTGGGCCGTACTTACAGTGCAACCAGGAAGCGCTAATGGTGGCTTCGCAGCGATGCAGAACTTGTCACGCTCTTGAGCAGCGACGCTGCCGAATAAGAGCAACAAGATGGAGAAGTACATATCGAAGATCATTGCAGATCGCTGGAGATCTGGATCAAGAAACCGACCAAACAAGACGGTAAAAGATTCGGACTCACGACTTCTTAAGTGCAAACGCCCCATGTTTGCTCTTCCACCGACTACCGACTGCCCCAGCCCAACGAACACTCGTCCCCTGCTTCACCTTACACAAGCACCGGCGGAGCAATCTTAACACCACTTCACAAACGGCCAACCACATGAACGCGCACGTAATGCTATTTTCGTACTACCAGTTCGCATGCACTGCCTCAAGTGTACGACTTGGTTGACAAATGTATGTCTAAACCAGGTTCGTCACCCAACGGGCATCCGCAGGACCAATCTCACAAGTCTCTGAGCTACTTAGTTGAGACAAGTGACCAGTGGGAAACGGGAGATAACGTTGAGAACTCCAAAACATGCAGTCTCAATAACGTGCACTCCTCCGAATGCAGTCTTCTTCATGCTCCCTTGTCCACTCACGAGACTGCGCAATCCCCCAATCGCTTGTTGCGTCTTGTCCTCGCTGCCGCTGCAAATCTACCGTCTCGTCGCCGTAGCTGTTCCGGCGGGCACTATATCTACTCATCGAGTCGTCATCAGAATTTTCCTGATTCGGCGCTGTCTGGTAACCTCGATTCTCGTTGTCAGGAAGCTCGTATCGACTGTGATCACGACTGTATTGCCGCCCATGTCCAGTGAACTTGTCGTCGCCATACTCCGACATGTTATAGTCCTCGGTCTTTGTGCCATATTCGCGAGGTGCAGTGCCGTAACCATGAACGGGGTGTACGTCCATACTCCGCGGCGAACCAATGAGTGTGGCATCGTAGACCGACGCGTGGTACGTGGAAGTGTCTGCGCCGCGGCCTGCGCTTGCAGTGTCACGACGCGACGCGAACTCAGGTATCGACGAATCGCTGATCAAGGTATTGATTCTCATCGACATACCTTCTGGATTCGTAGCGTCTTGTAGTTTCGCATTGTCCTTCTTAAGCGTGTTGGCCTTCTTCCTGGAATCCCACCAAAGCTTTATCAAACCAGCGACGATAATGAGGACGACGACGGCTGCGGTGACAATGCCTCCGATGGCTCCACCAGTGAGCTTAAAGGGCTGGCGGGCACTCTCAGAGACAGAGCCATTGGAGTCGACGGGTGGGACTGAGGCAGGCGTTGCAGAAGGGAAGGTAGCTGGAAGATACGGTTCCCACCGCTTCGGAATGTCAATTAGTTCCTTGTTAACCTTCTTGCAGTGGTAGAAAAGGCTGTCTAGGAACTCTGGAAGGAAATTAGCATTAGGCTGTGTGCGGATTTATGCTTGGAAAGAGTGATTCACCTTCTCTTCCGATATCGCCATAACAAGCGTCTAGGACGCATTGCTGGTCGAACTCGGTGTTTTTCTCGAGCGAGTTGCTGACTTTGCAGATGCAGTCAAGATCACCAGTGTTACATGACGGTTCGCCCTGTGGCTTCTTGGTCATGCATTTGTCGGAAATCTGATGGCCATTAGTGGGTGAACTTATGTTAGAAGCTTAGGGAACATACGCCGCAAATGGGGATTTGCCCATCAGCAGGGTCCGTCGGTGTTGGCATTGCAGAGGAGATTGTATTGGTGGTAGTCTTCGTAGACTGCGTTGTGGATACGTCTAGCGATGCTGGAGAGCTAGTTGCACTTGTGGCCTGAGTCAATGTACCCGGTTGAGTAGACGTAAGAGATTGAAAGCTGACAGTAGCGGTAGACTGTGGGGGTAGTGGTTGATCGTACGGAGTCCAACCCGGAGAAATGTCTATTAAGCTCGTACCACGTTGCTGGCAGGCTGCTCGATACATAGCGAGAAACTCTAAACAATTGTCGATTAGTACTCTCACTCACTCGCCATTTCCCTCACTTGGTGGCGGAGCACGGTACTCACGCTTTCTCGCATCCGCGCCGTTGCACTCTTGCAGTACACAAGAGGCGGAGAAGTATTCGTTGTTGGACAGTGTGTTTGTGTATTTGCAGACGCAAGAAAAATAAGCAGCGATATCGTAATCATACTGTTGACAGTAGAGCCATTTGGGAGCGTCGGACGTGTTTTCCGACTGGCACTTTGAGGAGATCTGACCTCGTTAGCTATCACGCGTCTGCGCTGAGTCTCATAACGACTTACTTCGCAGAAGTAACCCGGTGCCGTCTCCATAGGGAGAAGCACAGAGCTCGACCCAGTCGAACTTGGAACATCCATAGTCGAGGTATCAAGAATGACAGGAGGGGTGTACCCCGGTGGATTGTTATTACTCGCCATGATTGACTTCAATAACAGTGAAGTCCTGGAGATGTGACGGGGAATATCGATTGCTTCGCACTAGACGCCGTCCTTGCTCGAACGTCGCTATGTCACGGTGAGAGACCGTCCGTTAAGCGGACCGAGGTCGGTACCAGCAAACAATCTTGGAAGTTGTCTTCTATACCCAGGTAAGTGATGTTCAAAGAACCGCGAGAAGCGTGGGAGACTGCGAGGTTATGATCGACGAAGTGAAGTCTGACAGTACGTCCGAATCGCTGGCTAGACATGCATAGTCATGTACGTTCCACTTAATGCCCAGGTTGCGCATTGCTGTGAATGATTGCACTGCGAATTGTGACGGTGTAGCAGGGCAAACGCCTAGCTTCGAGCTGCTGCTTTTCGGGTCGTGGCAAATGGTCTTCGATCGCAGGTCTCTGGATTGTCAGCCAACAAGTTCTGGAAAAGGTCAATGCGGCAGAGATTGTGAAAATGAAATCGTCGAATTAGGTAAGTTGGTAGCTGGCAGTACTCTTTAATATGCCCTCGGATCGATAACCAGTCATATCCATAGAGACCCCAATTGAAATAGAACAAAAGAAAGCCCATCGGTCTATAGTCTGTACGCCGAATCCTCTTCCCGTCACTCCATGTTCGCATGGTATACGGATTTACCGTGGTCGAAAAGCCAGATTGCCCCATGTAACATGCCGCCTCTTGCGCATTCCATTTCTATCAATCCCTCCAACACTGTTTGTCCACAGCGACCTGTCTAGAACAAGCAGTCCAAGCAACAACAGCACGCCAGACCAGCGCACAATCCAGCGAACAAGCCTCCGCCGCCGCCATCGGCCCTCCTGTCATCTTGGTAGTAGCCGCCTGGGGGTGGCGGTCCCTGCTGGTATTGCATCTGCTGGCCTCCGTATCCGTATTGTCCTTGAGGAGGACCGTATTGGCCCTGTGGCGGTCCGTACTGGCCTTGGGGCGGGCCTTGTTGGTAGGGGTTCGGGCTGCCGCCGTAGTAGTCTGGCGCGCCGCCGCCCTGGTTGTAATATGAGGGCTGCATGCCACCGGGGGCTGGGCCGGCATCTTGGTGGGTTGGCGGAGGGTAGGCGGGTGGTGCGCCTTGGTCCTAAGGAATCATTAGTACTGTAATGGGTTTGCGACAGTAAAGAGATGGGTTGATGTCGCGCAATGCGACAAGAGGTGCTGACAGTTGTGGAAACGTACATATGGTTTAGACATGGTGGCGATTTGTGTAGGTCACAAAGAGTGTGGTGTAAGAAAGATGGGTTCCTCGGAGGACAAAAAGACTGTCACGTCGTATTGCTGGGCGGCGAAGCTGGGCAATCTCTCCTCAGCTGTCGATCGAACTTTGTTGGGCGTTTGCTTCCGAAGTAGATGGCGATCCTCCGAGAAGAAAGGTGAAGAAGGAAAGAACGAACGGAGTGTGTATAGAAAGCAGAGTATGAACAGGTAGAAGGAAGGAGCGACAGATGGTCAGAGTATAGGTAGAATGCGGAGTTGATCACACACCAGATGTCGCGGCGTACGAAAGAGGGTGGCTGAGCAGGCGTGGCGGATCGGCTATGCCTCATTCGTCATAGTTTCTTCCCATAGTCACCCGCGAGCGCGCATCGCTATACTTCCAAGACTCGTATTACCGTGTTATCCGGCACCATGCATATACTCTGCATCGTGGCTGGATTTGTTCTTGCTCTTAGTTGAAGCATGTGCTCCTAGGTCCTCGCCATGTACTTAAGACATACACGGTCTTTTTCTCCATTATCACATGAACGTAAAATAGTGGGTAATCTCCAGGGTACATGTTAGAAAGTCTCGGATGTCACGCATGAGGACGCGAATTTGTAAGAAGAAGAGCGCAGCCCCAGAGGGCCGCCAGAAACCAGTAGTTCTCTCCTCCAAGTCGGGGCAATGCCACCAACCCTAACGCCAGACTTAATGTACAATGCTCTACATTCCCAGCCAACGGCACCTTCCATCCGCGTCTCAATGGTATCATATCCACCGCCCTTGTCCCATTTCAGCCGTTCCAACAAGTCCTTCTATGACTGCACATCCACACTCTCGTTCGCCGGGGCCTGTTGCATCTCCTGGTCCTTGTTAGGGATGATAAGCTCCTCTTTTTGCTCATCGTCAACAAATTTCCTCTCGCTAACATGTTCACCCTCTTTAGGAGCAACCCAGACATTAGTTGTGTTCTTCTTTTGACCGGGCTCGTGCTTATACAAGCAGCGGGGGTTCAAACACGGGTTGAACTTGCACATGATGGCACTGTGGCCAAATTTGCAACCCTCCACTGTGCAGTCGGCGCCGTTGTGGCATGGCTTCGCAGTAGGGTGCTTGTAAGGGCAGGATGAGGGATCGCGGCAGTTGGGCCAGAACGCACACTCCTGCTCTGACTGGAACTTTTGACGCTGTGCGGGCGATGGGTGCTTGCCAACACACTTCTTGTTCTTACACGCCGCTCCAAAATCACACGTATCGTTCATGTCGACAGGTGTGCCAGGTGTCGCGGCGGGCGACTGGTGGACAAAGTGGCAGTCGGGGTTGCTGCATCGCAGGTTGAACTTGCACATGGTGGAAGAGGGATCTGGGCGCCCAGAAGGCATTTCGACGTCCATACCGCTGCCGTTCTCTCCAGCTGGGCCATCGGCCATAGTCTCGTCCTCGCCCTCCTTCTTCTGGAAAGTTTTGGCGTTCGGGTTCATGCCTCTGCCGCCCTGGTGTGACCGATCTATGCGTTGGTGTAATGGCTTCTTAGGTCCATTGCGGTTGTTGTGGAAGTTGGGGTTGACGAAGCCAGCTGGCTGGCCGCCGGAGAAGATCTGTTGCATCATCTGCGCCTGTTGCTCGTACATCTGCATGAGCGCCATTTGCTGTTGCGGGTTCAGGCCAATGCCTGGCATGTTGTTCTGACCGCCCATTCCCGGCATGGGCATTCCTGGCATACCGCCCATTCCCATACCATTCATACCAGCGTTGGTTTGCCCCATGTTCATGTTGGCATTGCCCATACCACGACCGTTGGCCATGGCTTCCATTCCGCGACCAATGTTCTGGCCTCGTGGGCCTTTCGGTGGATCACGGGCGTGTGCGTTCACTCTTCCAACGCCGCCGCCGGCGCCACGTACGCGATGTAATACTGAGTCGTTGTTGCGGTCCATGTTCTTGTTAAGCTGGTTAAGCATCCGACCGCCGCGCGCTGGACGTGCTGCTTGGGCGCCGCTACCGTTACGCATAGCCTTGGGACCTGTAGGACTGTTCACGGTTAGAATTTGTTCATTGTAGCACGCAAAGGATTGTAAGCGCAGAAGAGCCATCGCATGCTTTGCGTTCGCCTCGGATCGGCGTTCGCGCGCTTGCGTGGTCTCCTTCGAGCGATTTCTCGCACAAGTGGCTGCGCCAAAGCGGCGGGGAATTGGGGTGGTATCATACATATTGCCTTGACCTTCTGACGCGCCTTCCATGTCTGTATCTTGCGCTGCTGCCATGTTGTCGTTTGATGAGCCGTCCATCTGGTTTTCGATTGACTGCGAGACTTGTGCATTGCCGCCGCTCGACTGCTTCAGGTGCTCGATTTGCTCGAATAACCACTGCGCAAACTGCTGTGTCTCTGTGTTCTCCGGACCCAGGTCGAGCAAATCATTTGAGAGTTCTGATGCGACCTGCGCTTCGTTCTTGTCGTTGGCCAGCATAAGGAGAATGTACTCGAAAAGCGTCGTGTCTTCGCCGCCAGTCGTCCATCCAAACTCAGCGAGCTTCGGCTGGACTACCTGTTGCAGCTGCATCGCCAGAGGCGAGTCGCTCGAAAAATCCACAGCCATAGTGAGGGCGGACGTTGATGGGAGAGCTGTCGCGTGGATTCGAGATTGAGCGGTGGGTGCGAAACTAAGGGAGCGACGAGGAACGCGACTTCCGTAACGTATGACGTAAGGCTATCGCGAGTGCGTGTTCAGACGGTCGTAACAGGTGTTTCGTCAGTCGTGAAAGTGGTTGCGCGTTAGATGCAGCGGGTTGGGGCGTGGGTGGGTGTGGAGAAGGAAGTACGCAGTAATTGTCTGGGAGCGCCTGCTCAAGTTCTGCGCAATCAAGCTCGGCACTTGCCGCACCCACTAGCGCCCGTCTCATCCACAGCAGTATGCTTTCGCCACCCGGATTATATATCACAAAACAAGCTCTACATGAGTACAGTATATCGGTCTAGAAGATGCTATAACCTAGGTGGCGCTTCTGGCTCACTCACAAATGCGACAATTCTTCATCATGTATTGTGATGTCTTAAGCCAACAACTGCCGTCTCCTACTGTTCGACGTCTCATAGTTAGTCGCACACGGCATAGACTCTTGCTGTCATCCATTCAAGTTTGTTCAGCAAGATTGCAAGACGAAGTATAGTTCCGTAACAGCGTTCATACATTCAACTATATAAGATCACACCTGCGACTGCTCAAGCTTTAGGCGCGCTTCTTCCATGCGTTGGTCCTCTTTCATACGTAGCCTATACTGCTCTCGTATCTCGTCTGTGATAAGAATACCAGCGCCTTCTGTGCGACGTGGTGGGAGCTCTTCTTCACTCTCGTGCCCAGTTCTCGATATGCTAATGTTGCCCGAGTTCTTCTCACTGCTCTTCTCCCGGTTTTTAGAGCTGAGTATGTTTCTCAAGCCGTGACTTCTTGGCGCACCTTCGCCAGACCGGTTGGGTGACTGTCGAATGTACCCTTGGGTATCATAGGAGACGGTATCTGATGGCCGTGTACGGCGTTTGGGTACGACGGATGCAAGTACTGGACAGCAGCCGATGATGACAGCTGGTAAAGTGTCAGTTTGATAAGCAAGAGTAAGTCTGGCGACTTTACCTGTTGAACATTCGATGATAGTCCACATAGTCAGCCATTTCGGGTCTGGCGATCGAGGCTTTCCGTCCTGACCAACCTGCACGATGCGTATAGTCGAAAAAAGTATGCATACAAGACCGGAGGCGAACAGTAACCCGCAACCAATCTTCTTGGGCTTCTCCATTTGCAGATTCCAAATGAGCCGGATTGGGAGAAACATGACTGCAAATTCCGTTATTACAAGAAACCAGCATTTCGACGTCAACTGAGCATACCCATCATGTTCGTTACAGTGTCTACTGCGTACGCGTAGTAGAGATTTGCTGTTTGTCGGCGAGTTTCTTCGGGCGACGAGCACACAGCGCCCTTGTCGAAGAACGCTTTGGTGTCGTTACATGCTAGCCCAGGGCCTGTGATGATACAGGTAGACCATGTCTATACCAAATCAGTCAAGGTTTTTCGGGGGCTATGCGTGTAAAGACCCAACGGAATGAACCCTTACATACCACGACGCAGAAGATCAGTGTACCCCACCAGATGTATAGATACTTCTTGGGCATTCCAGAAAGCAGCTTTTTGTACAACGCCAACAGTGAGAACTTGACGAACCAGAGACATGTCCAGTACTCGATTCCGCTCTGCCACATGACTCTCGATGCGAGAATGACGTCTTTCATCATAGTAGGCCATGGCACAATGCGACCGAGTTGTAATTCCTGGATTTTGAAGAAGATAGGCGTGATGACGATGTAGAGGATAGTGAAAGCCAAGTAGGCCGCGAAAGCAATGTAGAGCAAGATGTCCTGCGCTTCGATGGGTTTGCGCCGCCACGCTTGCACACCAATCCGTGCAACAAAGACTGTCGATGTCATGGCCAGCATAGCGTAGTCTATCCGGAGCAGATCATGCTGCGAGATCCAGTCGGCGCCTGTCGACATCGCGAACGAAGACTGCAGGTTTTCAGGGATTCTGTTAGATTCGAGTAGACAAGGACAAACCCCAACAGGGCATATTTCTCGGGACGGATGTTGTGTCGCAACAGGACTGCGCTGTAGCTATCAAGATGGAAAAATTCTGGATTCCTTGGTCTTCGAAGCCCGACACTCTGGATTAAACACTTCGGAACTGGAACTTGCTAGATTTCCGGGTTAAGGTGCGTGTAGGGGTGTGGAAGCCTATGAGACGCATAGGTATATTGGATTACATGGGGTCCAACGCGTGTCTGAGTAAGGGGATACACAGATAGCGACCTCGATTTACCCAGTACACGGTTCCTGGTTCCTGGAATCTGGTATTCCGATCGTCTGCTTTCTCGCGACGTTGCACACTCTCGGTGAGAAACTCTCAGGGAGTCGGGATGGCCTTATCGAAGTGTTCATGAGTATCCTGTAGCGGACAAAGGCCAGTAAGCCCCCAAGAACGCCTCCTGGCTAAATAAACCTTAACAGCCTAGCTTGGGGGCGAACTTCTCCGCTCACGCTTTTCGAGGTGGTGACATGCGTATCGGCGCTATAGGGTCGGGAGCTGCACGGTGCCTGATATTTTAGCTAAAATGAACGTAGCGGCTGACATGCTTTTTCTGTCAATATCCTTTCTCCTTTCCAAGACGTGTTGTAAAGGCCATAACCCCAGGCTATCGCCTTGCAGCGCGGGTGTGGAGCAAACTTCGTCTAGGCCTCGGCGAGGTAAGCCACAGCGAGCCTAGCATATCGCCCATAGGTAGGCCTAACGGACTCTACTGCGTTGTAGACCTAAACGGTCAGGACTTCGATAAGTTTGTCCACGGCAACAGGTATACTCTCGAGGAATTGCACGTAGTGGTATGCCGGATAAATAGATTCAGCCATCGCTCGTATACATAGATGCAGGTGGCGGGTGCGAAAAAGGTGTCTTGCGGTTGGCGGATAGTAGTGTACAGCTGGCGTGGTGGCGTTCATGCGGCATTGGCAAAGACGCAGGAGCGGCACGGCTGGCTCTTCCCTTGTCCACTCTGAACACCCACCCTCGGACTCTCACTTGGCATGGAATTCTTTTGCATCACAACACGCGCTTAGGTGTGGAGTAGTGAACAGCTGCATGATTGAGGCACAGTAATCCAAGTCATTGGAAGCGACGCGTCTATCCGCAGAGCCATGTGTACATAAGCAAGACGTCTTTTCAGCTCCCACCGATGTTGGACCATCTTGAAATTGCCATGCAGCCACATCAGGTCCCGGATGTCACTACCATGCTAAACTTTTGCCACGGCTCGACTCGCGACAAGAGACTAGCTCATACCCCACAAACTTTGGCCTTTGCTATCCACTAAGAATGCGACCAAGCTGCCTTCTCCGTCCGCTAAGGTCTACACCTATAGGCCCCGTCGGACGAGTATGGACAGCACGCCCCTAGGGGCACAACCTACATTAATTGCAGTGGCTCCCTGCACCTCAGTCACTGGCCCACACACTCGGTACCAGCTTTCTCCATCATCCGGCATATTCCGTTGACGCGCAAATGGGGATCACGAAGCTTATGTTCGCTGCTTCGATAAGCGCCTTCGCGGCTGGTGTGCTTGGAAGCACATTCGAGCCTGTCGACTTCAATGTAACGGAAGCGCTACTCGCCAACGGTCTCGATGTAACTGCTATTCCTGGCCTGGCAGGTCTGGCGGAAAGATCTTCGTCTGGGGCTTGCTCCACAGCTGTAAGTCTACACGATCGTCGCGATTGACCTGGGGTCATTGCTAACCCTGGATCTAGTGCGCAGCTCTTCGATTTACGTTCGGCAACGGGACTGTGCTGTCAGAAGGAAGTGCAGCGTACGACAACTTCACCGGCGACTATTGGGCAGCTCAGCAAGCCGCTGTAGACCCATTTTGCGTGTTCAAGCCCAGCAATGCCAAACAAGTCTCAACTGTTGTGCTCTTGTCTCGATTTACGCAGTGTCCCTTCGCTGTGAAAGGAGGCGGACATGCTGCATTCGCAGGAGGATCCAGCATCGAGGGAGGCATTACTATCGCCCTGGAAAAGCTCAACGAGAGGAGCCTATCGTCAGACAAGAAGATCGCTTCCGTCGGTCCAGGTAACCGGTGGGCCGATGTGTATCCTTGGATAGAGCAGTACGGACTTGAAGTCATTGGCGGCCGAGTACGTTACCTTCCCTACTTGTTCCTATGCCCCAGTTTTCACGTCGAGCGGCTTTTCTAACCACATGCAGATCTCTTCGGTTGGTGTTTCTGGATTGACTCTTGGAGGAGGTATCTCCCACTACGCGAATGCTTACGGATGGGCTTGCGACAACATCGACTCATTCGAGGTTGTGACAGCCTCGGGCATCATCGTGAATGCGAGTGCCGCCAAATACTCCGATCTTTATTGGGCTCTTCGTGGAGGTGGCAACAATTTTGGCATTGTCACCAAGTTCAACATGAGGACCTTCGTCCAAGGTGAAATGTGGGGCGGGCAACGTGCTCACACTGAGGATCAATGGGACAAAGTCTATGCGGCCTACTACAACTATGCCGTCAACGCAGAGAAGGATTTGAAGCAAGCTCAGATCGTGTCATTCGCACTCCAGGCCGGCATGAAAATTGCGGCCGAAGATCTTGAGTACTCCGACCCTACGCCATGGCCTCCTGTATTCGACGAATGGAAAGCCATTCCAGCCATCATCGACCAAACTGCTATTGCAAACATGTCGACTTTGGCCAACCAGCTTGGTGCGGGAGCTCCGGATGGCGTCCAAGAGACATATTGGGACCGCACCTTCAAGGTAGACAAAGACATCTTCAAGGCCTTCATCGACATCTTCTTCGATATGCTGCCCGCAATCCAAGACGCTGCTGGAATCCTACCTGTCCTGTCTTTTCAAGCAATCACTGTCCCTGCAATGCAACATATGCAACAGAATGGCGGAAATGCACTTGGACTTGATCCCAATGATGGTCCCATCTTCATCTGTAACCTCGCCATTCTCTGGACGGATGTCGCGGACAACTCCCGTATCATGTCTTTCAGCAACAGCCTGTATGAGCGACTTGTCGAGGAGGCGGCAAAGAAGGATCTGAACTCCGACTTCATTTACATGAACTACGCATCACCGTACCAAGATGTAGTCGCTAGCTATGGGGCTGCCAACAAGCAGGAGCTGAAGAGCATCTCTGGCGTTTACGACCCTACTGGCGTCTTCCAAAAACTTCAGCCCGGCTACTTCAAGCTTGAGGGAGCACCGTACGGAGCGTTTCCAGCGTAATTTATATAGTAGTATGGTTCCGTGAAATATAAAATTGATCATGGCGGACAACTAGCTATCCTTTCACGTGCCTGTCTCGTGGGCCCTTTCCCGATCGGTCGGACTGAAGTGCCCTTGCCATAGGTTTCCGAGAGGAGCATTCAAACAAACAACCCTTTTGGCAACAGGTACACCATGAGGATCAGTGTTTCCTTGTCTAGCACTGATCGCAAGGATCTCCCAGGTGTCGGTGAACGCTGACGTCCGAGGGAGCGTGCCAAGGCGCTAGTCCAAGCGTTTGCTGAGCTGCCTCCAGTACTTTCTTGTCCGCTTGCGACCTTCTATCATCAACCACATCCGTCACCGTCACCCCCAACTTGTCTCGACCGCAAGTTTCGTATCACTTTACATACCCGATTCACGTAACTAGAAGACAAACATGTCTCGCGGCGGCGGCACCACGCTCTACGTCACCGGCTTCGGCCACGGCACACGCGCTCGCGACCTTGCCTACGAGTTCGAACGGTATGTCTTCCAACGCCTCGCCCCAGCCCGATCGCACGCGCATCGTCGTCCTCCATCCTAAACCCCGATCCCGCATACTCTCTCTGCCCCTTCCTCGCCATGGCGGTCACACAAGACGTTGCGCGACGCTACTTCCTCCTTTGCTGCCACACCCGTGCGCGTCGATGACGACCTGCACCTTCCTACATTGCACACACGCTCCTTCGAGACAACGATCTGACAATTCTAAAGCTACGGCCGCCTCGTCCGATGTGACATCCCAGCCCCCCGTTCAGCTTCTTCTAGACTGTGAGTTGGCCCTCCCCAGCAGCAAGAGACCCAGGCTCTAACAGGCCAGCAGCTTCGCCTTCGTCGAATACGAGTCTCGTCGTGACGCCGATGACGCGTACCACGAGATGCACAACAAGCGCATCGGTCGCGATGACTTGTTGAAGATTGAGGTATGTCAGAATAACAATAATGACGTGGGTCTGTCTAACAAGCTATAGTGGGCCCGTACGCCTCCTTCGGCATCATGGCGATTCGACTCTGGCCGTGACCGTCCCCGTGGTGAGCGCTCTGAGCGTGGCGGTGACCGCGGCGACCGCTCCGACCGTGGTGATCGTGCAGACCGAGGTGTTCGCTCTCCTCGCCGTCGTAGCACCTCTCCTCGTCGCGAGCGTGGAGCTTCTCCCCGAAAGGATGACCGTCGCGAGCGCGACTATGACCGCCGTGACCGTGATAGGTCAAGGAGCCCTGTTGACGGCGACCGCGAGATGAAGGATGTCCGCGATCGTGAGGATGACCGTGGCGACCGTGACCGTGTCGATCGCGATGATAGGCGCGAGCGTGACCGCGAGGCTGAACCGGCTGGTGAGCCCCGCAAGAGTAAGTCAACCGAACCCTCTTATAACGAATCGCTCTGATTAGCCATCTAGTTGACTCCCCTCCTCCTCCTGCTCACGAAGACCTGGACGTGGCTGAGTAGAACTGAGCTGCGTTGCGTCTAGCAGGCAGCATCTGGACTATTGTCACTGTCTGCACAAGGCTAGTATTGACACGAGTGCTCAAATTGATTCAAGCACGGTGTTTTGTTGATGGGAAAATGGTTTTTGGGATTTGTTATTTTCACAAGTGGAGGCTAGATTTACTTCTATGTCCTGCCACGACATTAATGCATTCAGCAGTCGAAAAGCTCGATTCGGATCTTCTTTGGCGAACGGTTACGGCGATTACCATTCGATTCGGACTTCTCGCCTTGTTTCGGTCGATCGGTCGATATCGATGCGGTTCGAGTTCCTTGCCTCCTGTACACTATTCGGTCGGTCCGTAGCACCTCGAACTCTTTCAACCTCACTTTCCCCCTTCGATCCCCGTTTCGATGTCACGTCCACGCTACTTCCCCGACGCCCCCATCCCGATGCGAAATATTCGATATCCAAGGTTTGTATATTGTGCGCATAGTAGATAGCCTTGTTCCTTCGTGATCGTGACCTTGTATGTATATTGTAGCCTGTGAAATACATTCCCTGAACATTGCGCGCGTCAATCACATGCGTGACTTTTCATGCACCTCTATCTGAGTTTGTCGTAATGTTTGCCCGCTACTTACAGTCAACGCTCCGTGCATGACATCGCAGGTGCATAGGGCTGAATCAATGACGGCAGTAGCCATCGATTGCGGAGAGCAAGCGGTCCAAGCTCGGACATTTTCCCGCAGGAACATCAATTGAACCCTCCGAATGTAACTTCTTGGTCGTCGTCGCAACGCCCTTCCAATAGATCTTGCGACCAATTGAACCGGCAATGCGGCTCCAGAATGTCTCGCAGAAGACGTTGAAGACCGTTGCCGCGCGCCCCGCGCTTGCATGCCACGCGCCGTCCCCATTGCATCCGCATCGGCCACAACTCGCATCATCACAACGCCTACTTCTCCGCGCCACAGCACAGTATGCCGTTCGCTACCAATCCTCGTACCCGGAGCGCATAGCTATTCTAGGTGGGGGTATAGCGGGCTTGTCAAGCGCCTACTATGTTGCTCGGGAATTCCCCAACAGTAAAGTGGTTGTGTTTGAGGCGGGGAAAGACAAAGGTGGATGGATCAAGAGTCGCAGAGTCGACGTTGTAGATTCCGAGGGGAAGAAGGGCAACGTACTATTTGAGCTGGGACCCAGGACGTTGCGAAATGCTACTGTCACTGCGGGGTTGGTATGTTTGAGCATGTCTACAGCAGTAGCTCTGCTAATAGCGTGTGTATAGATTCAAGACCTCGGTCTCGTTGACGATATCACGTTCACGAAGCGCACCGAACCTGGCGCAAAGAACCGCTTCATCTACTATCCCGACCAACTCAACCGCCTGCCCTCCGAGCGTCCCTCCCTCGCAGACTTCTTCTCGCTATGGCGGACTGGCATAATGAGTGGTGCCTTTGGTATGATCACAGAACCAATGAAGCCAAAGCGGCCAGACTCCATGTCCGATGAGACAGTTGGCTCGTTCCTCGCACGGAGGGTGGACAAGAGGGTAGCAGACAACATTGTCTCGGCGGTATTCCACGGCATCTATGCGGGAGACATCAACCAATTGAGTGCCAAGACACTGTTGAGCATGGCATGGCAGTTGGAAGGACGATACGGCAATGCCCTTGGAGGCTTCTTCCGTATGCAAAACGAAGACCCACGACCGGAGCAGGTCACCCTCGTTCACCCATACGACCGGGAAATAGCGAAGGCCATGAATGAAGAGATTGACCTGGACCTGGATTTTGCAAAGAACCTAAAAGACTCTGCTATGTTCTCATTCAGGAACGGGTTGCAACAGATGGTCAGGGCATTGCTGGATACTGTGGAAAGCAAGGGCAATGTTGAGATCCGGACAGAGGCGCCCATTCAGAGCTTCAAGCCCCTGAACGAGAATGGGAAGCTGGGCGTCGATATTGTCTCTGGGGTAAGTCCCTTTTCTTGAATGGAAGCTACGCGAGTACTGACAGTATACAGAACGAAGGCTCGACATCAACAGAATCGTTCGATCTTGCCATATCCACCCTCAAGAACGATGAGATAACCCCCTACGTCACAGTCATGACGGTGAATCTCTACTACCCCAACGCGAACCTTCTCCCTGTTGAAGGTTTCGGCTACCTCATCCCACAATCCATTCCATTCGAGCAAAACCCTGAGCGCGCCCTAGGCGTAATCTTTGATTCATCTGCTGTCAAGGGTCAGGACACAGCCAACGGCACAAAACTTACAGTCATGATGGGCGGACACTGGTGGGACGGCTGGACAGAATTCCCCAGCGAGGAGGAGGGTCTGGAAATGGCAAAGAGCGTCCTGAAGAGGCACATTGGCATTACAGAAGAGCCCACTGCACACATTGCCAACCTCTCCCGCGACTGCATTCCTCAATACACACTTGGCTACGCTGACCGCATTAAAGAATTCGCGGAAGGCATGTCCAGTGAATTCAAGGGGCGGTTACGTGTTGTAGGCGCCCAATTCAATGGTGTCGGTGTAAATGATATCATCACCGCGGCGTGGCAGGTATCAAGAGGATTGAGGGGAGAGGGCTGGAAAGGAAGAAGTTGCGGATTGGATAGGGTTATGGATGAGAGGGAGTGGACGGTGGTGCCTGCTAGCGAGATGGCGTATGTGAAGAAGGAGTTTGTGAATGTTGGTGGCTCGGGCATGGATCGCAGGGGTGATGGTGGGGTGTAAAGCTATCAACTGGTGATGAGGTGTATATATGGTGGTGCTGAAGGTGGAGTGAAGAGGTAAAAGCATAGAAATGTACAACATTGACATCTTAGCCGGACCGGTCTGGTTCTCGCGCATCTCAGAAGTGATACAACTACTCCCACGTATGGTTGTCAACTGTAGTAACTGTAGTCCTAACTCAGATCAACCTCTAGCACCCGATGCGTCCAGATTGGAGAGCCTCGATTATGATTCGCGCTGTCGCGTAAAGGTTGTGACGCCTTCAGGCGACCGCTGCCCCTCCCTCCAAGACTGCGCCATGGCTTCATTGCCAACTTCAACCTGCTTACCTTCTACACATGCCTTCAGTCAAGGACTTGGCCTTTCGGTAAAACCCTGAAAATATTCTTGTCCTTATCTTTGGGCTCTTCCCTCAACTTTCAGCATCTTTTGTTATTTAGATAGGCAAGCCATTCACGACTTTCGCGTCATCAACGACACTCCACCACGAATGAGGGAAATCCACAAACCAAAGTGAAATCATATTGTCGAACCTAGCTTCATTGCCGACATGCCTTATTGCGCTCCTTGCTCAACGTTCGCCGATTTCGCAGAGCTACCACCGGTCCCTCACCCTGCACGGAAGTGGTCGTCCTTGAGTGATTTGATTGCGTCAGCACGGTCTGGCTGTGATCTCTGTACGCTGTGTTGGCAGTACGTTCACGACTTCAACTTCGAAGACGACAGTGGACCAATCTGGCTTTGTTGGGGCAAGGGTTCAAACAATGACAATGGAGCTGAGCGCTTGGAGCTTCGTCTGACGAAACTCGTGATCAATCTCGAGGTTCAGGATCGCTCACACACGATTGTGGCAGATGACGATGTGATAACACAAGCTCGACGACTTCTCGAAAAGTGCCTCTCCTCTCATGAAAAATGTAGCGAGATAGCCGTCCTGGATCCTAAAAGGAGTGGCGAGAATGACTCAGAATCTGCCGATCGTTGCCCTGAGCTGAAGTCCTTGCCACGTCGACTGTTGGACTTATCCCAGGAGTCTGATATCCTCGTCATCGACGTGGAATCGTGGATAGCTGACGGTATCTCCTCGGTAGCTGAGCTGTCACAGTACTGTACTTTGAGCTATCGATGGGGAGTTGTAACTCAAAGTTGCATCCTTAGAGCGCCTTTTTCTAGCCAGATCAGTATTGGCATGGCAGATATGCCTCAGACTTTCAAGGACGCCATCGAGATAACACGGCGACTTGGTATTCGATTCCTGTGGATAGACGCTCTGTGTATCGTTCAGCCTGAAGCTTGTGGCGATTACACAGATTGGAATGCAGAGGGCCCTCGTATGGGTTCCATATATCATAACGCTATATTCACCATCGCTGCGACCTGTGCTGATAGTGTTACGGACGGGTTTCTCTCGAAAGTAGATAGCACGAGGATACGCGCAATCCCTTGCAAAGTCACTTACCGTGCAAGTAATGGAGAGGTACAATCCAGTCTTGCGAAGACATGCGGCATGAATTATGATCATGTCATCGATGATTCGGCTCTCAACAAGCGTGGTTGGGTCACTCAAGAGCGGTTTCTTTCACGACGTGTGCTTCACTTTACGGTTCAAGGCATTATCTGGGAATGTTCCAAAACCAAGGAGCATGGTAGCAGCGCTGTATCACGGATGATCGTACTCAATATTGAGGCCCCTGATCTCTTCGATTCGGTCTTTCGTAAGAATCTGAACACGAAAGCTTGGATGAAGATCGTCAGTCGATATTCACACACTAGCTTTACTAATGCAGAGGACCGATTGATCGCTCTTTCATCACTGGCTAGGTTCTTTCATTCCAGACTTGGTCATAAAAATGCATACTGCGCGGGAATGTGGTGCAGCTCCTTGAAACAAGATCTACTCTGGCACAGAAGATACCCGCCGGATTCCGAAACAGACCAAAGATCCAACTTAGCTCCCACTTGGAGCTGGGCCTCGGTGACGGGAGCCATTGGTTATCTGGAGGAAAGCAATCGGGGAAAGCCATACCCCCAGCCTGTGGTCCCACCAGCACGAGTCTTGAGCGTACGCTCAATACCTACGCCCCGCGATAGTTTGTATGGAAACGTCCTTGTAGGGAGACTTGAGCTCGTTGCGCAAATTCTTGATGTTATGATATGGACAAAGAATGCAAAATCTCGCCAGCTCAAAGAAGATGTTCAAAACAAGCGCGTATCAATTTTGCGTTCAGTCTATTGGGATGAGTTACAAGAAGACTCTACAGAGGAGGAGCAGTACCAAATCATCCCTTTTCGTTATTTCCAACGTTTCAAAAATCCGTTATCCCACACCTCTCACCCCGCGATCATTGTTAAAAAGCTGCCCTCGACAATTGCCGCAGCCACAAAACACGATCCTATTCGTACGTACCGCAGGATTGGCCTGTTGGAGGATGTTCATAGTGAATCGGTGGTGACGCAAGGTGATTCTGAAAAGGCAAGGTACAACTACGGCCAGGCTGTGCAAGACGTGGAGACCTTATTTCTAGTGTGATTTTAGGACAGCATATGAGCATTATGGATAGAAAGCCCCATGTTCTGGCTGCTCGTGGTGACGGACCGTTCTACAAAACAAGGCATGGTTTATAGTGTGCCTATGAGCATGCACAAGATCAGCTTGCGCCGCGCTCATAGTGGTTTAGGAGAGCTATGCACATATCCAATTCACAGACCGGGATCGGACCTGTACGATATGCACAGTATATCGAGGACAGAAACCGCAAGTCATGGCTGCGTTCTAATATATACCTGGTATTGAGCAATGCTGTCGATGGGTCTCATGCGAGAGACCTACTATATGCTCACTGTTCAGACCACAGTTCGAGAGCAGTGGTCAAAGCCTTGAACTGCTGTTTGCAACGAGAATTGCTACCTGTTTGTAATAAATTCAGATCAATCACCGATGAAATAACAATTGACTCATGAATCTGGTCGACTCCAGGCAATGGCAGCGTGACCACTCAAACAATCCTGCTGACTGGCACTTAGCAAACGAATATCCGCTCATCAAGGCCCTTATGACGCGGCAGTCTCCCCTTCACTATACGATAGTGAGAGAGAATGTGTCACCTAGGATTCGAAGACGATTTGACTATACTCCTTGGAATCCGACCTTATCACACTTAGTCACTTCGAATATAGATCCATTTTCAGAATATATATCCCTTGTTTACCATACTGTCACTTCTTCTCTCCAGTACGCCTTAATCTTCTCTTCAGACTTTGGATTGCTGAGTACAACACATTTTACCACTACTTGATCAACCCTCTTCAACCATATACTGGAAAAGATACCAATATGTCCGACCACCAAAGCGATAACAACATCCCTTCCTCTTCATCAGCCCCTACTAACAGTGGATTATCTAATGTAAGTCTCCCTTGAACCGTATTTGCCCATCATTAACCTCCTCAAGTCTCCTCGGGGACAAATCTTCCCGAGTCCAGGCCTCTATGGGAACCTGTTAACACATGAGGTACCCAAAGAGGAGTCTATCGACAAGCTAGTGTCTCGTATCATGGCCCCACCTCGCGACCTGTACAGTGCCGACGGCAAGACAGTCACGCTGACTAAAACCTGGGTGGTTGGTCTTATCGGCAAAGACCGCTTCGAAGACTCGGGCCCACTTCTTTACCACGTCCTTTGTCATGGTGACGAGCTTCGCGACCATGGTCTCGAATACGGCTTGTCCGAAAAGGTCTTGAGCTGGTTGATCAGCACCGAGGACACTGTGGAGTTGCCCATTGGTCATTTCAGTTACGTCTAAGAGGGTACTGGGAGAGCAAGTCTTCTCCGAGAGATCATGTCGGACGGTAGATTGTGACGATAAACACCTAGTAGTGTTCACACGTTCACGACTTGTGGCTCTTGGCAGTTTAGAGACAGTAAGAATGTGACATGGCTGGCTAGACCATCGGATGTTCTTGCGATAGATGAGATGGCTAGAGAGTATATGAGCGTCAAGGCCTTTGACTCGGAAGTCTTCGTAGCATGAATTGGATAACTACGATACCACTACGTCCGCGTGGCAACATAGGACATAATGAACCACACGTGAAGCTGATTTGTAACCTCATTATCAGTCGTGGAGATCTGAGGAGAGCACATGGTACTCTTCGACCATGCCTGCTCAGGGGTAAGTACTTCGTGCACCCTTTGCAGCACTTTTAAATACCTAGTCACTTGCGCTTGGCCTGCATACAACCAACAAGGCAGAGACGCGATCAGATCTCCAGTACGCATGCCGTTCCCAAAGAAGTTCACTCTTCTTGTCTTGCTGAACGCAATAGGTCCTAGGGGTTTCCGGTGCGTTTTACATTGATCTAGTAATAAAGTTCAAGCTAATGTATGCATTAAAAAGATGTCACTTGTACAGTGAACCACATCTTATACCCAATCAGACTGAGCAACAGCACATCAAGTTCAACGCGGAGTTGTATAAATACAATGCGTCGGACTATTGAATAATCTCCTTGCTTCACCGGTCCCGGAAGTGATTGATTTCTTTTTCCAAGTGATTGGTCTACGGATGTTACCGTCCAAATGAGGCCAAGACGTTACTGTAACTCTGACTTCCGGCGGAGAGGGCAGATCATGCACAAGAAGAGTCCGTCTGTCGCACACGTTGCTCCGCCAAGGGTGATCATCCATCTTGGCGCGCCATTTCCGCGATCTTGTGGAACTCGAAACGACTACCATGGGAGGTCAGGAGGTATCCAGGGTGTTGCCCTATAGGAGCTTGCCCAGTCGTGACGAAACCTTGATCCTAACAAGCACATAGTCTTGTTAGCGGAAGCTTCACTGCGTCTTAGCGCGGTGTCAACAGATTTGGTGCCTGAGAGACGGTCTAAAACGTGTTCCTGGATTCAGTGTTAGTCCATATTGCATGCCTGCTCCGTAGAAACAGTGGAACTCTTGTGGGCCGAAACGTCACTATGTACGCGAGATGTGTAGAACGTCTGAAAGCGGTGTCAACAGCGCCCACCGCTGGTTTGGTTAGTCTTGTGTCTGTTGCGCTGTGCTGCCTGCCAAGGGACAGATGCTTTGTCCGTTGTCGTTGATGATGTGTTGTGACAGTAACGGGAAGGAAGCTGATCCCGACGCACATGTGGTCAATCTGGTCTAGATTGGCTGTTCGGACTATGAGCGGCAAATGAACAAGTGCCAAGCGCGGAACGCAGTTCCTCCAGGGTGCCAAGAAGTGTTCAATAAAAGCAAGTCGTCGAGATTATTGCCAAGGTTGGTGATCCACGGCGTGGAGGTAGTGGAACGAAGACGTGTCTTTAGGAATAGTTTTTGTGAAACAATTATCCATGCACAATGCAGTCCATCTTACATATTCACGAGGTCGGACCGACGGTGTTTGAGTTGCTGTCGCATATTGCAAGCAGGCCGGGTCGAATACTGAGAGATGGTCGTGACTTCCTTCCGAATGCGCGTACCCCACAAAACGCACGAGCCGCGTGCAGATGGAGAAATAGCGCAATCTCCGCTGCGAAACGTGTTGAACGTTCTGCGGGTGGAAGAAGAAACAACGACTACTGCAGGTGCAAGTGGGTGACAGTGGAGAAACTACGGGATAGGAAACCAGTCGCTTGACTACAAGTCTAGCAGGACTCACCGCCATAGTTACGCGACGACGTCAGAGTGTGTATGTATTGGCCAGGCTGCATCTGTCAGCTATGCGATGGAATGAGGCGGAGTATGCCTGTTGCGTGGGAGCAGCAGGCTAATTACTCCAATGGCCGACGTTGACGCAAATCTCTTGCAAAGCAAAACCGAGTTGGCTCGCCCGACGTTTGGAGTGTCGTTGACCTATTCGTGGAACGCGATCAGGGTGCACATGGTCGCGATCGGGAGCCGTCTCAGCAGGCGTCCCTGTCAAGAGCACTGCAGATGCTGGCAGGTTGCATGAGGTGACACGAACCCCGCAATCCCATTTGATAGCACTGGAGACAGATGCTCAGTGACCACGGGACAGAGTCTGCAAGCAATCAATGGGCCTCGAAACCTCGGTGTCGTACTATATAGCGTGTGTCGGCGAAGAGGGAGCTGGTCCAGCTGGTCATTGCGAGATGCAATAACCATGGCGGGGAAATGGCGTCGCAACGGCTGGTGACCCCCACGATATTCGCCTGTCGCGTTCGGCGGCAAAGGCCGCCTAAGCTTTGGATTGACGGCGCCCTGAGCTGGGATGCGAGGGCATCACGGCGAACCATCGTCAGTTGATGTCTAGAGCTGCACAAGCAGCACATCCGCAAGGAGAGCGAATGTCGGCACGGCGGACACGGAGGCGTCCGCCTACGACCAGACGGTGTACAGAGGACGGCAGGCTGTCTTTGAAGCACATTGATGATGACTGCAGCAGCTCAGACCACATCCAAAGGCGGGTGCGGCATTTTTTCCACTGTCCAGGCAAGGCCAGCATGATGCCCATTGCCCTCTCCAGGGCTCTGTCTCTCGTCTGGCAGGCGGAGGGGCGATAGGAAGCGCTGCTGAATCAAGGGGGGCCGCCGTCACGCGATGGCGTATCGGAGTGGTTCAGTTAGTAAACGCCTGGTGGCTGGTTGCAAGACGTAGTTGCATTGTGTCGGAAGCGCGGGTTCGTGCTAGACGTGAGCCTCGTTTGGGCTTTTGTGGAGATGAAAGGGAAGGCCGTAAGTAGACAAGCCGGGCGGTCAAGCTTTGCAGTCTACGATCATCGACGCACATCATCCATCATACGGCGCTGGTGTGTGGTCGCAAGGTCCGGGTCCTGGGGCAGAGCGCACGGTGTAAGAGCATTACTGGGCGGCCTTTGCAAGACGTGCATCCGGCCTGCAGGTGGCCTCTGGCGCTGTGGGGGTTGCGCAGGGGACTTGGGCCGGGGTGTTTTTGGCGTGAATTAAAGAGAGTTTAGTCCCTCTCTGCGACTTCTGGAGCCCACATATCATTGCGCGAGGCCCCGGGCGCCGTCTGCTCATACTTTCTGGGACCATTGCCGTCTCTGTCTGGCCTGATTGCTATTCCAAGGTTAAGTGCGCGAGCAAGGCGGAGAGAGGGACGTCATCTTCCCTGTCGCTTGCCTGCCTGCATCTGGACCCTTCGACATTCACCCCTCGGCCGCTGCAAACCTCAATCGCGTGTCGTCGGTACCACATTCCGACGCAACATAATTCTTCTTCCCCAGTCACCCATAGCACTTTGTGTATATGGCTCTGTCACAATTGCAACATTTCTACCACACCCCGCTCCTGCTGCCCACCCTACACCTGCATTCGTGCAGTACGCTCGAAGGCTCGTATAACCGTCCGAGCCCTCTCCAGCGTGCGTAGCGACAAATCCCAGCACCCCGTCGTATCCCCGTATCCGCAACATTCACCCTCGACAACGCTCGGTCCCTTGCCGACCAATCGGAGAACAGCAGTCACCCTTCACCATGCCGATGGTCGCTGAACAGCCACGGCAACTGTCGATTTCCTTCGATGAGCAAACACTCTCCGACCGACTTCGCTACCGCGACTCACGCCCGCTCGACCACCGCTTTGCTATTGAAGAGGAGGACGAGAGTACCGGCACCGCAAGCGAGCCCGCAGAGCCTCTCACGCCCACCAGCCATACCAGCGAGGGCTCACCCTTCTCGCATCCCTTCCGTGACGATGATGGGTCTGTAGACGACGTGTTCGCGACCCCACGCCCTACCACGGACGACATGGAGAACAAGTCACATTCCCAAGAAGCGCCCCAAAATGCCCAAAGCCCACCAAGCATTCAGGCGCCTCAACAGGTCGAGCGACAGTCACCACCAGAGAAGCGTGGCCTCGGAAAACTGGGTTCTCTAATCCGCGGCAAACTGCACAGAGGACATTCAAGCAGAGATGGAGGTAACCAATCCGAGACTCCTAACTTTTCGACGCCCAACAGGTCTCCCAAAACAAAGGCAGAGACCAACACATACATTGTCAAGACTGGTGTAGATGGACCAGCTGAGATAGCAACACCAGCGGTCGATATCCCCAAGCAAAGTAGGAGATTGAGTTCCTTCTCACTCACACGACGCTCGGATAAATCTTCCCGTGCAAATTCCCCGCCCTTGTCTGGCTCGCCTATGAGCAGACCATCGATGGACAAGCGACCAGGACTTGGCGAAAAACCTGCATCCTCTACCGGCCTGGCAAGCATGAGCAGACCTCGACCTGGTGTCACCTGGGCAGGCAGTGGAAATGCGAATTCTACTACCAGGAAGTCGGGTTTCTCACGGAGACGGTCAGCAAGTACGGAACAAGTGCCACGTATTGATGAGAACGCAGAAAAGCCCACCGCTGGTATGCTAACTACTTTCTCCAAGCCGGCCGTCCAAGGTGTGGGCATGAAGGCACGGCGGCTTAGCATAAATCTCCCAGATGACTTCATAATAGACTGGTGCGAGCTGGATAAGGAGTTCAAAAGTTCGAGTTTGATGCCTGGAAAGAGGGGGAAAATTCTAGGCAAAGGTGCAACGTCTGAAGTTCGGATCATGGCAAGAAGAGGTGGCATAACCAGGGAAGAGGATTTAGTAGCTGTAAAGGAGTTCAGAGAACGCGACAAGGACGAAACCGAGGAAGACTACGTCTTGAAGATCAAGTCCGAATACAGCATTGCGAAGAGTCTGCACCATCCGAATATTGTCGAAACCGTACGGTTATGCACGAATCGCGGCCGCTGGAATCACGTAATGGAGTTTTGTACATATGGAGAGATCTACTCGCTAGTAGAACGGAAGCTTTTCGCGGGTGGTGCGGAAGGGTTTTATAGTCGGGACGATCGGTTGTGCTTTTTCAAGCAATTACTGCGGGGCGTCGACTACTTGCACAGCCACGGCATAGCTCACCGAGACATCAAGCTAGAGAATCTGCTTCTTAGCAAGGAAGGCCATCTTAAGATCTCGGATTTTGGCGTGGCAGAAGTTTTTAGCGGTGAGCATCCTGGGCTTCGCGCGTCTGGTGGTGAATGCGGGAAGAACATGGGCGAAATCCGATTATCTGCGCCTGGCATCTGCGGCAGTCTGCCCTACATCGCTCCAGAAGTACTCGAGAAAGACCACAGCTACGACCCGCGTCCATTAGATATATGGTCAACAGCCATTGTCTACCTCACCATGACCTTTGGGGGATGCCCATGGCAGGCTGCGAAGCCTGAGTTCGAGTACTATGCAAGATTCAAGAAGGGCTGGGATTCATGGCTGGAGCGTCACCCAGATGGTGATATCTTCGATGGTATCGACGGCCACCCAAAGTGCGGCAAGCTTTTCAGCCTCATCGAGCCCCCATCTATCAAACGACTGATGTTGAAGATGCTGCACCCGAATCCCTCTAAACGCATCACGATTAAGGAAGTACTCAAAACTACCTGCATTAAGAACATTGGCTGCTGCTGTCCGGAAACATACGATGACCCCAAGATCACGTTTGACGCTTCCAAGGCATCGAGTGCTAGGACCGCTGCTCCGAAAAAGTACCTTCACCACCACATTCCACCCAAGCCGGAGAATAAGGTTGGAAAGGCGTTCACTCATCGGTTTGACATGGGCGAACGATAACAACAACTGCATTTTTTGATGACTACTGTTTCACGATCACTGCATTACGGCGCTTGGATGTTGAGCATAGCGGGTCAAAAGGCGGATCTTGTGTCGTTTACAGTCTCGGTGCTGCACTGTATTCTTGTCTCACTAGCATGTCAGTTCTTGCAGTATTCATCGAATGCTCATTTCAAACGATCGACATATCGCATTATCTTCATCTCTCGTCCAACCTTCCATTCCCATTTCTCCCGAGCATCTTTCCCTATCAAACACACGTTGCGCGCACGATCAACATCATTGGCAGCCCTGCAGAAAGCGCAAAACGGCGATTGCCCTAGTAGCACACACCGACGCTCCACTGCCTCCACTGACTTTCGGAGCAATTATGATTGCGCAACTTGCAGCTAGCGATAGCTTGTGCTGATCTTCCGCTCTTTATCGCTAAACCCTATCTTCTGACACATCTGTAGCTTTCGTCATAACGCATAGCGGCCGCACCGACCCTCCTCACATTTCGCTGTTATGGGGCATTGGATCCCGACCTTGCATCGCTGCGATGGGAATCAGGACGGTTGGTTTGCTAATGGCCCGTCCGTCCGACGTGGCGCCGAGATACTTGGGTCTCTGGAACGCTGGTCGATTGCCTTGGCGAGGGAGGAAAATGAGTCGCGCGCGGAACAAGACAATGCTGCGATCGTAGACCTGAGAGTGGGTGGCGTATAACGGGTACAACGCCCGCTATGTTGCGCATGCCTAAGGTTGCGTGTGCGAATACGGAATCTGCATGTCATCAAAACGTGGGGAATGATCAGAGCATGGAGTAAGTCGACAAGACGCGAATCCGACCCAAGGAAATGACCATCTCGACGAAAACACGTGGGGAAGATAATACGCTGACAGTGCGCGATTGAGTTTTGATGGAACGAAGCATTGGCGCAGCACGTTAGCGGGCGGCGCTGGGCGATTTCCCAAACATGCTTCTCGAATGCGGGGCACAAGTCAAGGCCGTCGTCCACATCCTCGCTCACAGTATGCCAAACTTCCGCCGAGCTTCAATCAAGCGTTTGAGCCGAAGTAACACAGAAACCGCGTCATGTCACCATCGGCGCGTTGGTCGGAGCAGAGAATCGGCGATACGTCCGAAGCTGACTACGTCTCAACTATTCGGCCTTCCGACTTCTTACGCGAGTGGGCGGGGTAACGCGTTGCTGCAGTGGTGTGTCGCGTGCAGCTCAGCTTGGATATCACACGACTATGAACAGCATGGCAAGCAGACGGGAGGCGGCGCGGCCGAGCTCTCTGTCCCGTGCTTGTTGCGGCTGAAAAGAAGGTTGTGGTTGTAGGCATCAATGACGTATATTTGGCTGTCCACACCCCCACGAGATGGGTTCTTCGAATGAACCTCAATAACTCTTCCACACATGAAGCCCTTCGAACAAAGTTGTTAATTAAAGCACATGAGGACCAAAGATACCTGTACTCTCAACAAGTCCGCATGCACATCTGGATGGCAGCACACGAGGACGAAGATCACGTTGGCAAAAGACCAATACATAATCCACATACTCTTTCCTACCCAACACCTCCATCCACTCCTATACGCTCACCCCCCAACTCCGCATTAATAATTCCGAACAACGTTTTCTTTCACCCATGCAGATCTGCCTGAAGTCATGCAATGCACAGCGCATCCCTGCCGCATCACCTTGCAGAGTGCGGTGTGATGGACTTTTTCTTCCTTACATCGCACGGCACGTGTCCACCTTGACGCCCGATACTATGCAACCATTATGGCATTAAGGTTTACGCCCAGTGCGCCTTATCTCACATAAGGTGTCTCGAAGCGAATGCTTAGCATAAGAGTGATAGGTTGGGGTGAAACGCGTGATACGTGGAGTTGCACGAGATGCGTGGGGTGTGACTAGCGGTGGAGAGTAACAGTAGGTGTGGTCGGGTATACGGCACATGCTGCGGTGTGCGTCATAGGAGATGGAATGGAAGGTCGTTGTTAACAAACTTGAGAAGAGAAAAGCTTCTTGCTACATGCGTGTATTGCGTATACATATGTAATGTTTTCCATGTAGTAATATGCGTGAAAATGCAAGATACGATAAATCACTTTCAACGCGTCTTCTGAATTATCAATAGTTGAATATCAGCTATCGTCGCTAGTATATATTCCACGTCGTGTACAACAGTCTTTCTCTTCCACTCTATCATCACGCAGCTCTACCCACTACGGCTGCGTACTTCCCACTTACCACATCTCCCACACGCCCTCTGGTAACACCGACCTCATAATCTTCCAATGACTAACCGCACCATCTTCATGGAACTTCTCCAACTCGCCAACATCCGCGTTACCCATAACCCTACCTCCATCTTCCTTGCTGACGAAATCGTACTTGACCTCCAACTTCCTCTGCGGCTGAAGGAAATTTGTGCGTGCAATACTACCTAGGAAGTCCTTTGGAACCGCATCACGGAACTTAACAGCCGCTTTGCCTAGCCCATGATCGTTCTTGACGCAGAAAATGACCATGTTGATGAAATCAGCTTCACCCTCTTTGTGTTCCTCTGGTGCGGGAGAATCGCGGAAGAGGCGGCAGGCAGGGAAGATGGCGTGAATGGTGTTTAGTACTAGTCTGGTCGAACCCAGTGTAAGGTCACCAGCGTAGTTGATCGCTACAACACCCTCTGGTGTCAACAAGTCGTAGAGGCCTTGCATGAACTCTGTGGTGAAGAGATAGACAGGTTCTGCGCCGCCAGTGAAGACGTCGTGAATGATGTAGTCGAAGCTGCCTGGTGTTGATACGGATTTGCGCGCGACGTAGGCGGTTGCGTCGTCGATTACGGCGGTGTGATCGGGGCTCAGATCAAAGTATTTCGTGGCGTAGTGGTGGACTACAGGGTCAAGTTCGACAATTGTAGTGTTGATGCCGTGCTTGATCATGGCGTTAGGTGCCGTGCCGATACCAAGACCAATTACCAGAGCGGACTTCTTGCTATCATCGATAGTAGGTAGAGTGTCTACTGGCGGTTCGATGAGACGGACAGCTTCGAGAAGGACAAAGACCGCGAATATGGATTCCCGTTGCCGTTGACCCTTAGCATAAGCTTGCGGTGTGACTTGCCACTCGCCACCAAGGAGAGAGTGGTCACATCGAAGGAGACGGAAAGCATTGTCGGCGTGGTTCTCGAGGACGGATACATATCCCGTAACAGATTCCTGACGAGCGAGAAGCGTGTAGTTTTGTGTAGCTTGCAACGTGGAGTTTGCTAATTGGAGACCATGAGCTGAAGGGTGATGCGGGTTTGTCCAGAGCGTGTGCAGAATTGCTGGGAAGGCGAAGAGGATGACACGCGATGGGCTAAAGAAGGCAGATGCTGACGCAAGCAGCATCTGCATACCCACGCGTGTAAAGTAAACGGATGTTCCGATGAAGCTTGGGATGAGAGCGCTGCTGATCTTGGCCACGGTCGACACGGTAAAGTAGGATGCCGTAGGGACAATGACCTCCTTGATAGGCGAGGGGTTGATACCAGTGATGTCGATGCATTCCAGGAGATCGGCCGCAGCGAACACTGAGAGGAATAGCAGGGGAAAGTATGTCAGGGACTCGATGAGTAGAGGTCCATATTCGATACCGATCTTTCCGCTGTATGGAAACAGTAGAAACTGAATGACGGGGGTCCAGTACGCAACTACAGCGATGTACTGTGCGACATTTGCAGATACGTAGCTCTTCAAAGCGCGTCGCGTGATAAGAGCTCCAACAGCAGTGAGGGTCATCGTGCGTTGGTGATGTAGGGATGCAGGAATTGATCCATAGACCGGTGATAGATTGAGCTGCGAAACTGGTGATGCGAAACCTGCAACCAGGAGGAGTGCTGCCGCTCTACCAACATTCAAGAGGATAGTTGATGCTGAAGCATTTTGCGCCTGTGGTTCCACCTCTTTTACTGCCTTCGGCTTCTTCTGGGTCTTTTTTGGTGACATGCTGTGAAATTCCTGTTCTATCTCTTTCTATAAATCAAATGCGATATCTCTTGATCCAGTTGAGGTGGTAACTTTTGCGATAAAAAAAGAACGACAGTATATTTTCAATGTCGAAAAGACCAGATATTGCGAAAATGCTCCAAGCGACCTAAGGTCTTCGCCCACTCTACACGGACCGTATATCCGTGATAGTGGTATTCGGCCTGCGAACGACGAGATGGATCAACGCAACGCAAAAGAAGGATATAAGGCAGGAAAAGGAAAAGAAGGGACGTTGAGATTAAAAAGCCAGAAGGCCAGCTGTTCCTGGCTGAATTGTTTGATGCACGGGTGAAACTGGCGATCATTAAGGTGGAGTTCGTTTCGACTGGGCGCGTTTCGCACTAAAGTGTGGCGCCTAATACCGCGTGTGGCGTCATTACCAAGCATTGCGAGATTGAGGATGCGCGCCGTGATCGATTGCTCCTCACACCTCAACTGCAGTGGGAGGACCTCTGAAGTCTCAGTCCCCTTAGCATGCCATACATGACGGGATCACCCACGATGGCGTCTCTCGCCCTACGACCAGCGAACGCGTCGGAAGAAGCCAAGAACCCCGCCGACGTTCACGACAGTACCAACGGTGATGCACCGGCACCTGTAGATGAAGATGTAGCCATGGACGACGACATAGACGAATCGCTGCTCCGCGACCAACTACGCCAACAACAAGACGAACGCGCCCAACGACTCCAAGCAAAGAACAGGCGCAAGCGCTACCTCGAGGTACACCCCGAATACTTCTCCGACTCGTCGCTCGAACTCGCCGACCCGCTTCTCTACGACCGTCTTATACGTCGCTTCCAAACCGCATCCGAACGTGAAACTGAAGGGCGCAAGAAGGGCTTCTCTGGTCAAATGGCCACGGATCTGTGGCGCGCCGAAGCAAAGAAGGATGCGCTTTCACAGCCAGACCCAAACAGTCTCTTCACATACAACCGAGGACCACAGGGCCAGATAGTGGAGGAGGACAAGGACGATGTGCAAATGACAAAGGAAGAAGGGAGGGCGTGGTGGGTGGACGAAATGACACAGCGTTTCCTGAGAGGTGGGGACGAGGATTTTGAGTATGAGAAATTGGTGGACAAGAACCCCAAATACGATGATCCTGAGCAGGAGAGAGACTTGGAGGATGCATATTTCGACAGCATGGAGAGCGACTTTGACTCGGATGGGGAGGGCAAGGAGAAGGTGCTCACGGGTGAAACAGGCATACAAGACTACTGAGCATAATCGAGTGATGATCAGACAGTTAAAGAGAAGTCGAGGCGAGGAGATACTCTTTTAGTCGTTCTGGACATCTGCGACATCCAGCGAACGGGTACGCGGTCACACATGCTAATTGTCTAGAGTACGAGACTAACAACACCCAGGCTAGAGGAAATACCTGAACGTAATCGCCCGATCACCGAGCGCGCCCAGCTCCTCCGGACTATACCCGTTATGCGCACCTTCGGCTACCTGTCGTTCCCTCTTCGCATTGATGCGCTTGTAGTTGAACACTATGAACAGCAATGCTAGAATACCCGCCACGATAAATCCGAGCTCAAGAGCGTGGCCGAGAAGATATCGCGGCGCATCCTCTGCACGATAGAAGTTGGAGGCCATGGCGCCCGCCAAATTACCTACGGCGATCTGGATAGCTTGTCCTGTAGCTCTCTTCGTACTTCCAGCCAAATTGTTGCTGAGCCATGTGATATTTCCTGGAAATGCCGGATAAAGAGCACAAGCAGCAATGAAGACACCTGCATATACGAGTCCTGGTACGCTGCCGCCTGCGATACACATGATAAAACCAACGGCCATAATGCAGAGGCATACCAAGATAAACGGATACCGCTTGCCAACCTTGTCGCTGTAGTATGCGACGACAACAGCAAGGACGGACGCGGTGATGTAAATGGGTACGGTCAAGAGTTGAGCTGTCGAGGAGCTATATCCGAGTGCGCGAATGATCGAGGGCAGGAAGAGCGATATGCCGTATAGTGGACATACGATTCCTGGCTCTATTAGCTTGGCCTATCAAAAGATGAGATAGAAGACCAGACATACCCCAGTATACCAGAACATTCAACCAAATTTGCCAATCCAGAAAAGCGCTTTTGACAAATTTCCACTGAAAACTGTCATCCTGTGCTACCCTAACGCCGCCATCTACCTCTTCCTTGAAATTCTGATATTTCAGGCGGTAGACAACAAAAGCGCGTTCTTCTTCCGTGAGAAAGGAGGCGGTTTCCGGGAAATCGAAGAGGGTGAAGTATGCAATAACTGCCACGATAACAGTGAGGATTCCTTCTAGGATGACTAAGAATAAGTGTATAAAGTTAGTATATGTCTCATATACCATCCCTACGCGGATACTTACAGATCCAACGCCAACCAGCAAGATTTCCTACACCGTCCATGTGTGCAATGCCGAATGCTAGAAGACCGGAGAAGGCGCCTGCGACGGAGGCAGCGGAGAAGAAGAGGGCTTGGCGGAACTGCGCTTCATGGCGGGCGTACCACATTGTTATGTAATAGGCTACTCCAGGAAACAGACTGTTCGTAGCGACTGTTAGTTAGCTGTTCAGTCGCTCGCAGGATACGTTTTGTGCGAAGAGAAGACAGGGAGATGTGGTTTTGAGAAGAAGAACATACCCAGCTTCAGTTACACCTAAGAATATTCTCGCAATGAGTAATCCCTCGTAGCTTTGTACTATCCCCATGAGTGTCATGACGATACCCCATGCTACCATGATGGTTGGTAGCCAAATCGATGGCCGAAGTTTCTTGAGCAAGAGGTTCGATGGTACTTCGAAGAAGGCGTACGTAAAGAAGAACACTGTTAGACACCTAAATTTGTCGTTAGCCTATCGAAACAAGACCGCGATGGGATTACGAAGAGCATACCAGTTGTATTGCGCACCAGTCATGTTGAGATCTTCAGTCAACCCTTCAATCTTCGCATTACCGATGTTTCCTCGATCCAAAAAGGACAGCAGGTACAACAGAGCTAACATTGGTATGAGGCGCAAGTCCATCTTTCGCAGTATCTTCTTCTCGTCAAGGTGGGCGAAAGATGCCATCGTCACACCAGGACTCGTAGCCAATGCATCGATACGCTCCTTCTCTTCAGCCTTCGATTTCCCATGGCCGAAAGACGTGATGGAGGCTTTGCGATCCCTGTGAATGGACGTGCTATCTGGAGAATCGCTGGCTTGGGAAAGCCGATGTATGGTAGGCTTCTCGTCCATGATGGTGGCGGTGGTGTGTAGGTATCAGCGTTAGCGATAAGCGAAGCAAGCTTTGTGAGAAGAAGGGAATCGCCAGCGACAACGCGCAACGATAAGGGTATCCAAGAAGTAAAGACCCTCTAGCTCTAAACACAAAAACCTGGGGATCGTCCTAAACCACGGCATAAAAGCCACGAGCCGCTGATCAACGCCCTCGCGCGAGCGCGGACACTGCATGTTGATTATCCATCGTCTCCACCCCCATGGGGCGCACCATCACCGTCTGCCGTGAATATCCAACAAGCATCGACTTCACGCTGCGGGTACACAACCCGCCCTTACAAGCACACGCTCGGTCATACAATAAATTCCGCCATTGACGCACGCCCAGCCCCTCCCCACCCTCTTAACTTTTCTTACCTACCGTCCGGCCACTTATCATGCACGAGTGAAGCCTTCGACGTGCGTCAAGACTTTTTCCGTCCAGTCTTGAGTGAGAACAAGGGGTTTCGTAGTGGAGGCATGTGGACCTGGGGAAAGCTGGGGTAGAAGCGGAGGTGATGAACGGTACTTTTTGCTGGTTGGGGGCGATGTAAGTGGGCGCTCCAGATGGCGGGTTACTGGTTTGGGTAAGAGGCCGGGGCGAGACGGAAAGTGTTCCGCTTCACGGGACCTCTATGCATGTATAGCGCACAAACAACTCGGCTGAAGAGGCTGACCTATGATTTTGTCTTGTACATGTTACAACTATCTGAAAGAGAGACTAGTTGTGATAAACAAAATAAGCAGGATGGGCGCAAATGAATGAGGCACAGATGCTCAAGAGAGCGATCAAGTTGAAGAAAAGATTGAGCTAGCTCATTCCGTGAAGCACAGCTGGAAATCTCTTGTTGTACCGAGCAGTGGATCATGTAGGTACTAAACACCGATGTGTGAGAAGCTTCCACGGCCTTGGGATGGAATAAGTCTAAGGATTTGTCATTGATATATGAATGCTAACATCGCCCACTGCCAACGCCCTAGTTCAAATGATCGTTGGAAACTACAAAAGGAAAACTAGAAGAGGCAACGTAGTAGCAAACGGTAGCGACAGCGAGAAGAACTAAGAGCTTGAGAGACCGACTAATAAGACAAAGTTAGAAGTGAAAGAAGAAATACCAGGCAATAGAGGTTACAAAAAAGAAGACGATGAAAGATTGAGCCGTGTACAAGACGCCGTAACTCCATCATCTAAGAAGAAACAACACAAGCCTCCTTGATATAGAAAGAAAGGAGATCAAGGACTTGAGGCGAGGAATGGACGACAAGATAAGCTGAGGCGGCAGATGGCTATCCCCACGAACTCTATGATTAACATAAAGGGCAAAACGTTTGCCAGCTCGGATTTTCTGCACCGCAGTTTGGACATGTCCACATATCTTCCGAGTGGTCTGGGACGGCAATGAAACCTCCACATGCTTGAGTATAGCCAGAATTCACCGTCAAGGACGCGGAAGCACAGGGAACGTAGACGTCCGTAGATATGGGATGATACTGGAGCCCCGATTGCGACTCATGAAATTGATAGGCGAAATCTCCAGATACGTGTTTCATACTCGGTGATTTGTGTTCGATGCAATGCTCGTTGCTTCCGTAGTGGTGATCAGAGGTTTGATTGTGCTTGAAACTGGTAGACTCTCTGCTATCGATGGGGGAGTTCGATCGCTTCATATTTGCTTAAAGCAGCTTATATCGTGTTGGTCGAGTTCGTGGTGATAGTTTGGAACAATGGCTTTAATACCGAACAAAGATGCTTGAAGCAATGATTTTATATCGTGTGTGATCTGAGTGTTCTCGGTCGTTATGACTGTGGGTGGTGATGGAGCTTGAGATTGAGTGTGCTTGTTGTTGACTGATCATACAACAGCAAACTATGGTGCTGTAAGTAGTATATATGCGTCTCCAGAGAATGTGAAGCTTCAAACGACTTGGTAATAATCATTTGCCTCTTAAAACACCCGTGATGCTAACCTTGGTCCACCTTAGAAGGGGCGCGCGCTAGATTAGATGTGCCCTTCGTGCTTCATCCAGTCCCTTCTCTTAGTGCCTAACAGTTGAAAGACCAGTATCCAATACCCACATCGTGAAGAGCGCTTCACTGTGTACGTCGTAATGCTGGCATCTAAGCCTGCAAGAGGACGTTGACTGCTACGGAGTCATTGTGGTACTCCAACAAGCATCGTGAAGCCCAGGTGACGCTTCTTCATTAGGTGAAAGGTAGGGAATAAGAGAACGGCGAGCCCGATAGAAAGTGGCACAGCACGACGAGACGTAGTGCTTCACACTAGCTACCCCGGCATGTTGAGTCCTTCCCACAGACCTGATGTAAATAAGGTTTGCTGGGCGTCCTCGCCATGAGAGATCTGTAGAAGAATTGCGTCATTAACGATAGGCGAGCACAGGATGCGCCGAAATCGTGGGAAAATTGCCTATCCATGAACAAACCAGGCGCATGAACCCTAGTCCGTTGTCCAAATTTACGGCGGGCGTACAGAGAACGTGCCCTTCGCGGTGCTACTCACGTCAATAGCATTGCAGTCCGTCTTCTCAACGACTGACTCGACCTCAATTCCGACCAGTCATTCGAAAGCCGTGATGCCATAGTACCACCATAGCCACCGTCCTCTTGTGGTGGTTCATGAAGCGCGCGTAGAGGGCGGCAATCTGGCGTCACGTACTCTTCGAACCATGAGAGCGTGCGTCGTAAGGCTGCGCGGTCAACTCCGTCGGCAGGCTGAAATGTGCAGTGCAGCAGGCAATGTTGGCCTCAGAAAGGGCCCAGAGGGCCCGTGAATAGGCAGTCGGCGCACCATTTGCCTTTTCGTATACTGCTGCTTTAGGATAACGCAAGCGAAGGTAGTTGATGCGTACATGTCGCAATGTTGTGCATTCTGTGCAGGTGACCAAGAAGGACTCCACTGACGCGGAGGGCAATTACCGGCGCCATGTATATGATTGTTAGCGGTACTGCGA